AACAACCACTACCAAAATAGGTGATAAAGTTTTATTGGGGAATCCCATCTTTAGCTTCAAGGATCGAATTCCTAATTATCATATCGACTCCAACAGAATACTGCCTATTCGGGGTATACTTAAACTTCAAACCATATCATGTTGGAATTGTAATGATCAAAGTTAGGCAATTGAAGATTTAATTCAAGTACAATTTAGGAAGTTACCTAAATAGGATTACCCAATTCCAACAGGATTGGCGATGAGGGGATGTTCATGGCAATGGGTGAACGGCGATTTGGCGGTAACTGGCAACAGCAAGGTCTAGGTGCTCGTTGGGAGGCTATTGGAATCTATTGGAAGAACAACGGGACTACGGGGACGTCTTTGAATCGTCAAGCAACCTACAAGAAACACGAAGAGTGTGCGAATACAGAGACCTCCGTAACTGGACTTGCAGGCGGTGTGGGTGATTGTTGGAGCCTCTGGCCTCGCTGGTCTCGGCGGATTTGGGTTAGTATTGTTGCAAGGATGTCGGAATTGCAAGAGCAGACTGTGGTGAGGTGTGGCGAGAAGCAGCAAGATCTCAACGATGGTAGGTCACGACGGCGGCGTGGATCGAAGGATGGTGGCCGTGGAAGAGAGAGTGCTTCTCCTTTTTGTGGATTCTATTCTTTCTCTACAATGTCCAACCTCTTTTGTGAACAACCTTCAATGGGTTTATATAGGGTTAAGGTTGTCTTGAAACAACCAAGTACATGTTTATTTCCTATTTTAGGTTATGTGATTTCTTACTAAGAAATTAGAGTATACCCTCTTTCTTATTTCATTTTAATCAAAATTTGACAATATAAAGCTTAATTACCCCCAAGGTTTCCTTCAATAAACCAATATTTCTTCATTTGAAGTACCCCATGTGCAAATCACATAATTCGATCAGGAATGGGCTTGTTCCAATTATCACTTTCTATGGGGCTTAATAAAAGTAATTTAATTAAACTCAAAGCCTCCCTACACCAATTCAGTCAAAATGCAATTTATGTGGGCTTATTACTATTAAATGACAATACTCCTAATGTACAAATGCAAGTTAATAATTTATTTGTTTAAGAATCGGGTCGATCCCTCATTTTTAATGTAATGAATAACTAAATAGGCAGCTAAAATTTAGGTATCAATATTTAATTAGGTTTTATTTCATATATATCTTGTCTCCACTATGATTACTTATAATTTAATCACATACTTTAGTGGACCTAATAGTTATTTATACGAATGCAGCTTTTTTAAGTAATTTTAATATTTTTTTTGTGATTGATCTTACTTTGGTGTTGGCCTTTTTGGTGATTGGTGGAAATTGAAACTTGTCAGTTTTGTAGTGCTACGGCCCACGTGGCAGCTTTAAATGGAAAACGTGTAAACTCCCAAAGTACTATATTTAAGATGATTTTCGTGACCACCCAATTTGAAAGAATATTTCTTCATGCTCAGAGTGTATATATAGATAGGGAAGAGTACGCCTTCGCATTATATATTTCAATAGTGAAATTGTACAAAACTTGATACTTAGTGCGTCTTTGATTCGCGAAAAACTTCTCAATGAAGAAAAATATTTTTCGTGAAAATCATTTTTACTGAAAATGGTTGATTTTCAGTTGTTCGGTAATGTACTAAAAAATGAATTGGAAAATGTTTTTTGATGTTCAAATTTTACTTGTAAGAAATTTACTCTCTCCGTTATAATTATATCTTGTTCCTAATATGAGATACTAAGACGATATTGAAATGCTTGTCTAATTACCAAAATATAAAAATATAAATTTTATGTTCTTTTATTATCAAAATAAAATAACCTAAAAAAGGATGTCAAGAAAATAGAAAACGTAAATAATTAACAAACTTAATCTCTCTCAGTGTTTCGACTAAAAAAAATGTCTCTCAGTGCCCGTAAAACTTCACACGAGAATGGTTCTCATTCCAAAAAGGTAATCAAAGAGTGATACCACAGCAAGCGAATGAACATAAGGTACTAAAGAGGAGTGAAGACTAATAGAGAGAGAGTAGATTGAAGCTATCTGCGAATGCGAGTATGGAAAATGAATTTCAGAAAACGATATCTTCTTTTTAGTATGAAAAAATAGTTTCTTCAATTTTAAGTATGCTAGTACTCCTTGACCATTAAAGTCTTTTCCGGTAATTATCTACTTTCAGCGAACTCAACACATAAAAGTTTAAGCAAACACACCCTTAGTGTCGTTCATTTTGGTAAAATGTGAAGTTCTAAAGGCCTATCATTCCACATGGTAGCAAAATATTGCTCAATGCTTGACATGCGTGTGCTCCCAACAGAAGTTCATGTACCCTAACTAGAGATGGACCCAAGCCTGATAGGGCCATTGGGTCGAGCTTAACTTATTGGCTAAACGCACCCATCAACAAAAAATATAAATTTATAAAAAATTACATATGAACCATTTTCCAGTTTAGTCCCTCGATTTTTTTCAAGATGTCCATATACAGGTTCGCCCAAATTTGTCTTCGAGCTCGTGGTATGGGCAGGTTTGGACAAGGTCATGATCAACGATCAGATCTAAATCATAGGTATATCCATTCAAGGCATAATGATGTTCTATATAGATACTCTTCTGGGAGGATCTTGACCTCAAATTTCATTTATGGCAAAAAACAAACATAAAAATCCATTGCTAATTCATTCGCAGTTTTCTCCCGTGAGTCTTACGAACCACATCAATTCTTTTTAGGGGTCTTCATCAAAAGAAGAATTAGGAAAAACGTTTAGTATAAGTTTCCCAAGAAGTCCATCACCTAGCTCCACGTGCAAAAGAAAAGTAGCTATTTTCTTCTTCTTTTTCTCTTTCTTTTTCTTCTGTTCCTTTGTTGGCCGTAGGTATCTAGGGTTTTCACTTGTGTTACGTTTCTCGATCTCTTGCTCCGTTTGTCTTCACGAGTACATCGTTTTCGTGATGCATCAAACGCAGCATAAACGCTTAAACAAATGTTTCGAAGAATTTGATGTTTGAACCCTTATTCCACGCTCTTCCTTTGTAAGTATCTGCAGAAAGATTCCACTGAAGAGAATAAGCTTCCCCTCAAATGGCTCAAACAAGTTCGGGCACCCTCAGTTGTCGGAAGGAGATGTCACCGTCGTCTGTGTGTGGAAAATGTCAGCTTGATCGAGACCTGATGGGGTTTTGCGCGACACGACCTGTCTTGTTGATGTGAAGCCATGGAAAGACAACAAAAGTGGGCGCCCCTGGGGTCAACCTCGGACATTGCAATGAGAGACTCTTCCACTCATGATTTTCTCAGAAAGAAATTTTAAAAAAAGTGGTAAATGATTCTTACCATACACTGAGATTGACTACATGGTGATTTACAGCTTGATACTTTGTTTAAAGAATCGATTTTGTAAGTCAGGAGTTATAACCCTAGCAAAACTCTTTAGAAATTGTGTGGAACCTTTTTTTTTTTTGTTGCTAAAATAGAAATTGTACGGAACTTGCATATGCCCGTAATGTTAAACAACCGTAGATTGCACAAACACTATCGAATGACCTTGCTTGCTATGCTTTTCTAGAGAAGTGTATAGCAAGTTCCTCGATGAGAGTCATAGCTAGATTTACTGCTTCTCCCTTGCTCGCCTCCTAGTGGCTCTGTACTAATAAGGTTGTGCGTGCCACGCGCTCAACTCCTAGTGGCTCAGTTCTAATAAGGTTGTGTGTGTGTGTGTGTGTTAGAGAGAGAGAGAGAGAGAGAGAGAGTTATACATCTGTTAGTGATACTCACATAATTATTGCAAAAAGAGAGAGTGAGAAAATATCATACATCTGCCAGCAATACAAACTCAATTATTGCATACTCTCAATATAGAAGATTATATACCTGTCAGCAATGACTCTCTTAATTGTTGTATAGAGAGTAAGAAGATTATACATCTGTCGGTGATACTCAATTGCACACTCTCAATACATGCAATTGGTCTCAAATAAATTTTGAAGTTGTACACACGATATTCACTAATACGAGAAATGAGGAATATATCAAGGATATCAAATGATATCGCCAATCAACGAGCAACTAATCAAAGAAAGAAATTAAATTAATTACTAGTCTTTTGCGGTAGATCTAAATTTCGTTTTGAATTACAATTTAATCTCATAGTATCGTTGTACATCTGTCAGCCATACTCACTTATTATTGCATACTCTTAGTACCTATAATCGGTCTCATATAAATTTAAATTCCATAAACACGGGATTAATTAATATGAGAAATGAGGAATATATTAAAGGTATCCGATGATCTCGCCCATCAACCACCCATTAATCAAAGAAAGAAGTTAACCTATCCACTAGCCTTTTGCGGTAGATCTAAATTCGCTTTTGACTTAAAACTGAATCTAGCGAGTTATAACTCCTTCAAAGATGTGAATTCTAGATTATCAACCCCAATTTTTGAGCGAAACAAATTCATTACAATTCAAGCAAATAATTCCAGCAAAAAAGGGCAAAGGTTATTCCTTACTAGAAGCTTTTTTCTTTGGCCAAACATGGAAAGAAAAGAAAAGAAATTAGATGCTTGGCTTCGGGTCACTACATGTTCTATGCATGCACTATCAATCTGACTTGTGTACTAGTAATTTCATGGGTTAAAACCTGTTTATCGTCACACAGTTCAAAGCTCAGCGAATCAATCGAAATCTAAACCTTTCTTTGACCATATTAGATCGGTGTACATACGAAGCCTTGGATATCAACATAACTAGTTTCATATGTCTCGCAGTTGTCCAGATTACAAGTTACCAAGCATAAGCACGAGTTAGGTCTTGTTTCAAAATGCTGAGGCCGTATGCTTTTAGGCTTCCATGAGTAATGCAGATTCTAATTATCAAGACTGAACTTTAAAAAGGCATTGAACTGGAGAAAATGGCCAAATTGTTAGCATGTTTAGTATAGACCAAAACCCGCACTCTTGGCCAATTCAACACAAAGTACCTCCAATACAAAACCCAACGTTGCAAAACTCGTGTCATTCACAGAAAACTAGCAGCAAATCAAGCACACAAATGTTCTCAATTAACAACCATCATCAATTGTACATAATTATTCTGCATCTACCAATAGTCAGTGAAAGGAAATCCATGCTAATTCTAAGATGCAAACCACGAGTTGCCCAGGAACACACCACCACAAGCATATATATTTTAGATTGCTTCACATATATCTATATATATGCTATATACTAGCAAAACCTAAAAATCTATCGTTTTAGTTAGATTGATTTCCAAGATGTGTGTACCTCTCAATACCTCTTAGAGAAAGAGCCATTAGTACTCCTGCCGGCCACGTCGAAGAACTTCAGAGGTGACGAAGAGGCTGCGCCTGGCTGCTTCTCCGGCGACTCGTCCCCGTACAAATTCTTCTCGTTTCTTGATTCGCTGCCTGTGGCCTTGTTTTGGCTGGCCCTCTCCCCTTCGACCTCCCGATACCGATTTAAGTACCGCTTGAGCGGCTCGGCGTAGTCATCGAACCCTAGGGACCCGAGAGCCCAAACGATGTCGTCGCCATTCACGGTCTTTCGCTTCTCCTTGTGGCACTTGTCTGAGGCCTCGCCGGTGACGAAGCTGATGAACTCAGAGACGCACTCCTGCATCGTCTCCTTCGCCTCCTTCGAGATCTTGGCGTTTGGGGGGAGGATCTGCTTCATAATCCTCCCCACATTGGCGATTGGGAGGAGGCGATCTTGCTCTCTTATAGAGATTGCTTCTTCATTTGAAGCACTTGTTGCTCCTCCTCCTGAGAAGTTGTACTTGCTGTCGCCTTCTCTATCTGAGTTCGAGCCCAATTTGTCCACCATTTGAGAGAGGAAATTGAGGACCCTCTCAAACAAAGACACGTCGCTCTCTTACAATTGCTTAAGACCTCCCCTTCTATATAGGCGAATTAACACATCTGTGTTTAAGTCTGTCGTGTATTGGAGAATTTTCTTTTTCTTTGGGTGCCTTCTGCACCATAGATCTAGGGATGGTAAAGGTTCCGGTGAGTGGCGAAACCCTTTTTCTTATCTGGCGTACTGTGACATGACGCTATGCGATTCTGGTCAACTGTAATTATTTTAAATAAGAAAAAGCCGAGAACAAAATTTATTCCATCCAGAAGACATACTTTGTTTGGAACTATTGCTCTACACTGTCCAAGTTCATCACTCAAAATCTTTAGGGTTAGATAGCAATTGTATGAGCCAAAGTATGTCATATATACAAGAGAAATAAAGTCCTCAAAGCCTATACTATTGTGTACTAAGGAAAATAATTGACCATATGTTCCTCCAAAATTGCAGGTATGGGATCTCCTCAATTCTTGCCTTCTAGAAGAGAAATAGTTAGTTTCAATGAATTGATCGAATTTTCCACGAAATGAGTGCACAGGAATAGCAATATACAATTAAAAGGCAACAGAAAAAAGAAGCAAGCTCATCAATTATGAAGGCAGTGGTCCCCCTCTATTAAGACCCATTCGCTTATCTTTTAATGCTCTTAATAAGTTTGAACTTGACAAGCATATTATAAGGTAGAAATTTCAAATTTGTGGACCACATAAGTGCACGTGGGCTATGTTGAATTGCTAACACAACCAAACAAGGCCTAAAAAGAAACAAATTATTAGCCAAGAAACACGGATATCCCAGTGATGGGTTACCTACTGCTTTGGTTTTTACATAGTATAATGCCTTAAAGAATCATAAGCTCTCTTTTTTACTTCCTAGGGAGAATTTGTACGGCTATGGTCGGGTCCTAAATCTTTGGACTGACATATTTAATCCCAAAATAAACGAAAAAGCAAGCAATCAGCCTAGGGTTTTAGCTCGTATAGAATCGACATATGGCAGGCTGTAATTCAAGCACAAATTATAGAATCTCAATTAGGTTAATGGCCTCTTATGTTGTGCATGATCGTGATCGTGATCAATGCACTTCATAGACTATATCCACTGTTCATCGTGGAGGAAACGCTCTATATATAGCTATGACACTTTTATTTGATCTTATTATAATCAGGATGTCCTCCTGCTTATGCAAGCTAAGTATGCTCTAGATGCTTTGGAGAAAATCAAAGCTAATTAAACACTCGAAGAGATGGAAATCAAGGAATAATATAAGATAAGGGTTATTGGAGAATCATTCGACCTCATCTTCTAGTATCCAGATTTTTACTTTTAGGGTTTTATTCGATATTTTTGGGAGATGTTACTAGTAACAGGGGCTTAACAACATGGGAAAGCCCGAAGAAGAACAAAAGAAATGAAATTGGCAAACTAGAAGCACTTTTCGTAACTCTCATAGTGTTCGATTGACTATAATCATGAGGTGAAGTACAAACCTTATAATTAAACGGAAATGTCTTCTGATTCTCAGGAACAAAACTTAACATGCTAAATCTGGGAAGCCTTTCTTCTAAGAATGACAAAATTGACTTCAATGGCCCCTCCCTCTCCCTCTCACCAGTTTCAATGATTAATTACTGGGCTAAAAGACAAAATTAGTCTAACTTTATTACTTGGATTATACTATAAATTAAACTAAACCCTTTTTAATTTGGCATCTTCTCACCTTCAAGTAATTTTGTCCTCACTCCAACGGAGAGTCTCCAATGATCCCTTTTTCATGCATTCTAATTAAAAGGGGTAGGTCGAGTTGGTGAATTAATTATATGTCCTTGTTCATATTCAAATTTGCTAAAATAAAAGGAATAATCAATTCACAATATCTCCACCATCATCTTTTCCCCCAATTTTTCCTCTATAGACAAGTTTATGATCCATGTTTCGAGGACATGGGTGGTCCTTCGCAAGGCTACTCGAGATCAGCCAATCTTCTCCACCCAGGTGTACTTATGTGGGTGAAGTGACTGTTTCACAACGTGATCTATAAGCGGTCCATGTTTAGTAAATTATATGACCTAAAATTGAACTGAAAAAGAAGGCATTTCGTACCCTTTGTGTTAATAACACTAATTTGAGAAATTATTGAATAATACCAAAGGTACTTTTGTTGGCCGAATTTCGTTGCATCTGGTACATTTTGGCCTACCAAGTACCAAAGTTGTCCAAACACTTCCTTCCATGGTCCTTCGAACTTTTGTTGGTATGCCTCGGTTATCGTTTCAGTAACTAGAAAATTAAGAAGAGATGGAATTATTAGCATACTATAGCTACACTTTTGGTACGAAACACTGTATACTTAATAAAGTATCTTAAGTACACCAACGAAGTGCTGCCTTAGATTACAAGGGAATTTGCTTCTCTAATTGTGATCTTGGATTCAAATCTTATCAGGAGCATTGTACAAGTAAAATCTCAAATGCACCAGGCCTATGTGAACGTTTACGTCTTTAAGATTGCTCGAGAAGGCGGACTAGTCGCAATGCCCGAAAAGTGATCCGAACACAACGCGGTGGCTATATTTAAGTGAAAAAAAAAATTCTAAATACATGGCATCATAAGAGGGACTCAGGCTATTCAAAAGGATTTTCAGAGTATGCACGGGTTATACAATAATTCATCTTACTCCCATGTCCCAAACGGTTCTTTTCCTCCTCCTGCATTTGATCCCACCGATCAACATCGTAATCATAACCACGATCCCCACTAACCTCCTCCAGGATTGCACCAAATGCCACCACGATGACCTCTCCCCACGTCGGCTGACATAGCAGGGACGACGACTCAGCATCCTTGATCTTGACCCATGAGAACTCAGATTACGTTTGGCGATTGTGTCCACTGTCTGAAATATTGCTTCAAATTTGGCGGCAATTTTAATCTTCGTCAGCGAGACGATTGTTTCTATTGCCATCATTAAGGACATTGGCTCAGCTCTCCGACATTTTTTGCCCGTTCTGTTACCAAATTGAAGCAATAGAAACGATAAGGACGTATATAATCCAATCTGCTGAAACAAGTAAACACTTGAATCGTAACACGTAGACAGACACGTGCACACGAAGCACAACAAAGAAAATTCTCAATTTTTCATTAATATTCGTGGAAAAATTCCAAATAAGGATCTGAAGTGCCTGCATTTTCTCAAATAAGGATCCGAAGTAGACCTTGTCTCAAATAATGACCTGAAGTGTCCTCATTTTCTCAAATAAAGACCTGAAGCGACTATAACAGTTTCAAATAAAGGCCTCACCCCGCCAGCTCGCCAGTCGGCCAATGGCATTTTCGTCTAAAAATAATTTTAACATAAATTTTAGTTAAATTAGATTAAAAATTAAAAGAAATTAAAAAGAAGAAGAAAAAAAACAAGGGGGAGGGCTGGCATCCCTCCTCGCTTGTGGTTGCCACCCCATCGGCGATGGGGCGGCGGCCACAAGCGAAAGGGACGGCTGCTGCCCCTTTTTTTGTGCTTTTTTTCTTTTTAACTTTAGCTTTTTCTTAGTTTATTTTTTATGGAAAAAAAACACAAAAGGAAAAAAAAGAAAGATAAAAAAGTAAAAAAAATTAAAAGACGAAAATGCCCTTGACTTCAGTGAGGTTAGGCCATTTATTGAGACTGAGATGGCATCTTCAGGCTCTTATTTGAGATAATATTCACTTCAAATCCTTATTTGATGAAATGATGGCACTTCATATCCTTATTTGACACAAGGTCCACTTCAGGCCCTTATTTGAGAAAATGAAAGCACTTTGTGTCCTTATTTGGAATTTTCCCTTAATTCATCGAAAGAAGTAAGTTGATTCATTAACTTATAGCTCTAAAAGAAGTAAGTCTGTTAGTCGATCCATCTCCTAATGAGTTCACTAAAAACATTGGGCCTGGGTTGTAAGTGAAGGGTCGTAGCAGGCACGGGTCGAACATGCTTGAGTCGTGTCATCCATGCCTAGGCCGACACAGCCCATTAGCCATAGCGGATTGAATGATTGGCTTAGAAAATACCCAACAGAAAATTGTCACATCCCTTATGGTATCTAAAAAATAATTTTAGTAAGATCTCTTAACGTTACCAAACAAAAGAAAAATAGCGGATAGATGCGATATAATGGTTATCTAAGTCAGGTTAGAATGGATAATTTACTGCCTCCGGGCAAGCAGCCAAAAAGTCTTTTTCTCCATCATCTTCTTCAAACTTCGACCATATGAAGGGTTTGAGCTAGTCTCACCCTCCCTTCCCTCTCTTATTGATTTTGTTTGAGTGCTTGTGTTCTTTTCTTATTTTTTCTTCTCTCCCGATCTAGATTTGGGAGTTCTTTTCTCCTAGTCTAGTTTTAGATTTGAGAATTTGAATGTTGGGTTCCTCAAGTGCTAAAAACGCAGCGGAATTTATAAACCGAAACCCTAGACAGGATCCATGCGTATATTAAAATCTAAACAGAAGTTCGACACGTACTTTTTGCAGATCAAAGGTAAATTGACAATCGATTGTGTCTGGATTAGCGCCCCAAGTGTTGCGCCTCTACTGGTATCCACACACACGAACGGAAGTCTCTAACGATCCAAGTACTAGCTAAAGATCTTGGACTTCTTTTTCCTGATCGCCTTTGATCTTCGAGACTCTCTCAAAGATCTCTGAACAAAGAATGATTTTCTTCGTATTTTCTTAGGGTTTTTTTTTCGTCACCCACACGCTATATGTATATATATAGCCTCATTATCTACGCGAATTAAAAGAAGTGGGGCCGGGCGATTTGGGCTTGCCAAAATGTCCACCTTCAATCGTACGTTTAATCGTTATCTCATAACGTGCATAACCGCGTAGATAAGTTGAATAGGAGAATAAATTAAAATCTACTTCTTATTTTAAGTAGATTCCGACGCACAGAAAATATTAACTCAGTTCGCTATTGTGTGCGACCATGTAGGTTCACTAAATATTAGTAGTGTGCTCAAAACCCTTTTTAGCCCACAAGTCATAAGCGGTTTCTAGCAAGACATTATGACTACCTAAGTATAGTGAAGGTCGGTTTTCTGACACAACCTAATCCACAACTAATATTAGAGTATCAACCTTGATTGATTCCTATGGCAGACCACTAACATTGAACTCTCCTAATCTAGTTC